TGGGTACTATTATTATCCCCACTTTACAGATGAGCAAACTGAGGCTCAGAGAGGTTACATGACTTTTGCCCAAGGTCACACAGCAAGTAAGTAAGTAACAGAGTCCAGACAGGTCTGTCCCATGCTGAAGTCCAAGTCTCAGCCACCCTCTCTACTGCCTTCATAGCCCCAGATAGGTGTGGCCGGACTCTACAGTGTGCAGAGATTATAGGGCTCTTCCATACCCATCCTCTCTTCCTGACTCTCACATAATACTGATAGGCAGGCATTGCCCCATTGTATAGCCTGGTAAACTGAGTCCCAGAGAGGGTAAGGGAGTTGCTATGGGCATTTGGTCAGCAAAAGGCAGAGCCAGGTCTTCTGACCCGCCCCATCCTCTCATTCACTGGGCCCCATGTAAGGGAGGGGCTCTGGGAGGATGGGGCAGGGCTGAAGCTATGGAAGTCTGCCCAGGGTGCTGGAGCACTGCTGAGGGGAAGGGAGAGAATTGGGCCCAACAGGGAGCAGCAGGTGTCTAAAAGAGGAGGAGAGGGAGACAGAGGAAAGCTTTGTTCCTTCAGGTCTTTCAGGATGTGGCACTGCGGGCAGAGGCCTTCCTGGTGGCATCTCGGGGAAGCACAGGGTGGGAGCAGCAGGCTGAGACAGGCGCAGACCTGAGTCCTGCTGTGAATTCACTGTCTTCCTCCCAGCCAGGCCCCACATGCAGGAGAAGAGCAGCGGCCACCCCAAGCCTTCAGGTTCTGATGGCGAGCGTAGCAGTCGCATGACCCCTATTTAAACCCAGGAGGCAAAGAGTAGTATGTTTTGGAAGTCACCTCCAGGCTGCCTGCAGCCTGCCCTCCCCTCGGAAATGCCACTAACATCCAGGAGATAAAAGAGGGGATCTCTCAGAGGCAGAACACAAAGCTCTTCAAAGAACACTTTTGATCAAAAATGGGAAGAGGAGAGAGGTCTTTCTCTCAGAGAGAATGTATTTATAAACCTGTGTGTGTGCGCGTGCACGCACACACACACATACACACGCACACCAGCAACCAGGAGCATCATGATGCTAATAGAACTCTTTGCATGTTCCCTTTTCCCAGTCTTCCTTCTCTGGCTCCGGGGGTTCTACCCTCTTCTGCATTCCCAGCCCCCGGGGTTACACTTCCGGATCTGCTCTCTCCAGATGGTGTTGTATCTTCCGGACCTTTCTGGCCTCCCCTGCCTTGGGTGCTACTCTTTGCCGACTAGTCTGATAAACAGTTTCCTCCTCCACCTCTCTGAGGCATTCAATTCTGGAGACCGCTATCATCTTCTTGAGCAAATAGGGGCCAGTTAAACGAAGCTCCTTCCCTCCGAGCCCTGCAAAGTGAAAGCCTGGGATTTTAGGGCCGGAAAAGAGCTTGGAGAGCATCTGACTGAACTCTCATTTCAGAGTGGAGGAAACTAAGGCCTGGAGAGCGGAAGAACTTGCCCAAGGTCACGGTGAGTTTGTGGCCCAGCTGTGACGAGACCCAGGTCTTCTGACGCCCTGTCTGTGGCTCTTTCAACTGGAAAGCGCAGCCCTCCCCAACGAGTGACCAGAGATGCAGAAGGGCTGGGGTGAACTGTCATGGTGCCCGCTCTTCCCTTGGCCTGTCACGCCCACAATTGCTAGCATTTTTTTGCAGCCACGCCACTTTGGTCATTAGTTTGTTTTTGTGGCACATGATCTCCGCATCTAAGTCTGCTTTATAGCACAACGTCTTTTTAACTAAGGAGAAAGAAAAGGCATGCACGCCTTTTGGAATAACCTGCTCCCACCAGGTTGTTGCTGGTACCCCAGGGTGCATTGAAGCCAAGGTACCTGATTACTGTTCTCTACTGAGTCGATGAAAATAAAAAGCAACCAGTACCTAACCTCCGCGGTTTCTCCTAGCTTCTCATCCCTCCTTCCCTGCCTCCCCTGCCCCCAGCTTACTCTTGAGCGGGGGACAAAGGAGAGAGAGATGGGCTGCAGGGCAAGGAGGCAGCAGTTTCCACAGGAGACAGTTTTCCTGTTTGGCCCAGTCTGGGGAGCTGTCCGTTTGTGACTCGACAGAAGCACCCTGTCTGAGCCTGGGGCAGACTGTCTCCCGGGGTGTGTGGTCCTGCTCCTATCCAGGAAAGCACCCTCCCGGGACGCTGTCCATTTCCATCTTTCTCTCCATATGGAATTGTTTCACCATAATGTCATCGCTGGCCAACTTTTATAAACTTGTGAAATGATTTCCAAATTGCAATCCAAAGTTTGCCCTTTTGGGAAGAAGCCTGTGGCGGGGGGTTTCGGGGGAAGAAATTTGAGGATAGGGTTGTTGATTTTGGTTACTTGGTTTGGATAGATCTATTTTTTTTTTTGATAACCAGAGAAAGGACGGGATGCTGTGGTTACCTCTTGCCCGTCTTATCAGTTTGCATTTTTCTACCCTTTTCTTCAGTTCATTCACTCCAGCCCATTTAACTCTTGTCTCCTCCTCCCAAGGTCCTTGCGGGGCTTGGCTGCACACAGGGGACCAGCACTGCACCTGCTGCGCCTTTGTGGTTGATTTCTGTTGCTTTACACGTGTGCTCGCGAGAGGACCTCAGGTCAGGGCCACCATCGTTGAGGGAGGGGCTGAGGTTCTGAAAGGCCCAAACAACTCTCTGAAGGGTCCCCCAAATGAAGGCACTAACAATCTTCTAATCAAACTTCACTCTCTCCTCCTGGGTTGATTCACTTGACAGCAGTCATCAACACTCTCTCAGAGAAATACAGAATGAACCCAAGGAGTCATTCACATTTTTCATTTTTTATTAAAAATCTCTTACATCTGCACTCTAGTCTCTTTTAAGCCTGGCCTCACTTTATAAGGCCCTAAGTTGTTAACCGATGCCGGATCGTGTGACTCCTTTAGCATGAATTGGGGTGGAGGATTGGGGCTGAGATGAGAAGAAACTGATCTTTGCCAATGGTTGTATTCGTCTTGTTCACAACTTATAAATCCCCTGTGCGTAAAATGAGGGTGGCATGTCTCTCTCCTTACTTCCTTTGCAATGATTTAGGAAGAATCGTGCACGTGTGTGTATGTGCCTCTGTGTGTGTGTGTGTGTGTGTGTGTGTGTGTACTTATTCGGAACTGATTGGCCTGTTTGTAGGTTGTTGGATACCTCACTTTCCCTCATTTCTTTCTCCGTCTTTTATATCAACTGATCCACCAGAATTAGGAGTTAAGGAAGCTGAAATGTAAACCTCAATGGAGACCAGTCTGGGATACATGTCTAGGTTATAAAACATCATTCTTAAATATCAGTATAAGTCAGAATCACCTGGGCAACTGGTCACAAATGCAGATTCCCGGGCCCCACGACCAGAGTCTGATCCATGGGGTCTGGGATGAGACTCAGGAATTCACATTTTAATAAGCCCTTTATTCTTTAATATTCTTATTCTTTAATCAGAATAAGGTGATTCTGATGCTGGTGGTCCTAGACCACATTCTGAGAATCACTTGCAGAGAATTGCTGGGAAGGATTCTGGCACTGTCTCAACCCCACATCCTTGGTTTACAGATGAGATTAAGGAAGCCAAGAGAAGTGAAATGACTAGCCTACGCTAGTTAGCTAGTTAGTGCAGAGTATGGCCAGAACTGAACGCCAGCTCTGGGCCTTTCCCGCCGCTCCACGTATAGGGGAGCAGGCCAATAGGTAGTAAGCTTGCTTTGCAACAGGGTGGATTGAAATTAAACACAAGGAAGAACTTCCTGACAGAGAGGTGTACTGAGGAAGCTGACAGCCTCTCCTTTCCCAGGAGACCTTAATTCAGGCCAGACTTCCATCAGGTGTGGGCACTTGAGGTACACGGCAGGGGCAAAGAGAAAAGAAGGAAACACCTGGTGATTTTGCATGAAAGGGACCAGAGACCCTTCGTTGAGTTCTGCTGTGGCACCTGGATTTTTTTTTTTTTTTTTTTTTTTTTTTTTTTTTTTTGGCGTACGCGGGCCTCTCACTGCTGTGGCCTCTCCCGTTGTGGAGCACAGGCTCCGGGCGCGCAGGCTCAGTGGCCATGGCTCATGGGCCCAGCCGCTCAGTGCACGTGGGATCTTCCCGGATCGGGGCACAAACCCGTGTCCCCTGCATCGGCAGGTGGACTCCTAACTGCTGCGCCACCAGGGAAGCCCCTGACCTCAATGTGTTCTTTTATTTTTTTATTTTTTATTTTTTTGTGGTACGCGGGCCTCTCACTGTTGTGGCCTCTCCCGTTGCGGAGCACAGGCTCCGGACGCGCAGGCTCAGCGGCCATGGCTTATGGGCCCAGCCGCTCCGCGGCATGTGGGATCTTCCCAGACAGGGGCACGAACCCGTGTCCCCTGCATCGGCAGGCGGACTCCCAACCACTGCGCCACCAGGGAAGCCCTGTGGCACCTGGATTTTAACCTTGACTGAAACATAAGGCCAGTGGTCCAGGAAGCCTGAGGTGAGGTCCTACCGCTGACAAGGACAAGGTTTGTGATGTTGGGCCCCTTGCTCAATTTCTTGGCCTTTATTTCCTGGGGTTGCATTAGATTGCCTCTAATTTCCAGGGGGCCATCATTTTTATCTTTCGTTGTAACTCCCTCACCAAAGTGCACACAGCAGAGGGACTCAGTGAAGTTTCGTTGTTCAACAAGTTGATCAGCTGAAAAAAAAACTACTCAATATTGAGTATCCAGAAGTTGTATCTGCCAGTTCTCCCTCGCCTAGGGCATTTTGAGTCTGTCTGAACAGTCAGTAGTGATCCCCCCTTTTAATACTAATTTATATATTTAAAGGGGTCTAACCTCAAATGAACATGAGTTACAGCTTCAATATCCATGTCTTTTCATGAGTGATCGTTCAGACCTCTGGCTACTTAGGGTCAGTCCCCAAGCAGAGAAGCCAGACCAGAGAAACATCTCCCCATTAGTGACGGCCTCTGATCACAAGTCCCTGTGCCCCCATCTCCCGTGGCCACCCCTCTGATGATCTCTGTCTGTTCCTTTCAGAAAGCAGATCTGGCCGTGGCGGGCCTCACCATTACCGCTGAACGGGAGAAGGTGATTGATTTCTCAAAGCCATTCATGACTCTGGGAATTAGCATTCTTTACCGAGTTCATATGGTAAGAGATTTATTTTATAAGCATTTATGGCATTAAAGTTATTTGCATGCAAACACTGAGTTATATGATAATAATGAATGACTCACAGAAATATTTAGATTTCAAGACTTAAATGCAAATGTGCTGGGCTATTTTTTCCCCCATCAGCTGCAAGGACTTGCAAACAGGGGGAATGGAAGAGTCACACTTGAGGGCTTTCCAGTAAAAACTGCTTCTGCCGCACTGAATAGGGAAGGCCAAGAATGATCATTCAACCCTTGGTTCGTAGTGTGTTGGTCATTGGCCCCATGAGTCACTCTGCTTCCTCCTAGTGGGTGGGTCCCCAGCCCAGATAAGTCACCCCGGACTTCCCAAGGCCTTCAGCAACTTTCAGGCCCACCTCTGTTCACTTTGCGCATTGCATCTGGTGAGGCAACGCAGACTCCCTCTCTTGATTATCTGTACTGGGGAATAAAGAGCGGATAATGTAATGTCACTTATACCTGGCCTGTCCCCTCTTCTGCATTCCTTACAAAAAAAGACTTCTCTGGTTAGGTGGCTAGAGTCAGTATAAAAATGAGTTTGAGAAAGCTCCCCCATGGGCACCAGAGGATGGACGTGATGTCAAAGTTACTGGCTGGTGGGGGGAGAGTATACCCTCATCCGAACTGGCTCTAAGTGCACAGCTACTATGTGGATTTCCCCAATGGTCCAGTCACTTTAGGCGTCCAAGTTCATGCCAACATGGTGTATTCCAGCACCTGGCACCACAAGGCTGCCCAGCAGGGAGGGACCCAAGAGCTCACCCCACATGCCTGCTGAGGAAGTGACCCTCCAGCTTCTGATCTCAGCCTTGGAGGAAGGGGATTATCTGTGTCTGCAGCCTCAGTCTGCCAGCTGCCACGGCATCAGGAGCTGTGGCCCGTTTCTGCAGGAGGAAGGTCTTCTTGTAGAGCCCACTGAGGCAGCTCCGAAGAGCCCGGTTCTGGGCTGGACCTCAGCATCCATCGTGCCCCTTGCCCGACTTGGAAAAAGGGGCCAAATCATCTGGAAGAAGAGACAGCCTCAAAATCCCAAGCTCTCCAGGCTAAGACAGAAAGAAACGGGAGGTTGTGGTCACAGTCAATGCGGTGACGGGTGCGTCTGTCTTGTGAGTGAAGGGGGATTTTGATCCCTCCTCCTCTCCTTTCCATGAGGAGAACTCCCATTCACTGAGTGCCTCTTATGTGCCAGATACTCTTCAGGCCCCTGTGATGTGGGCTGTTGTTATGGATTGAATTGTGTCCCCTCCAAAGCTGTGTTGAAGCGTTAACCCCCCCAGCCCTGTGAATGTGACCTTACTTGGAAACAGCGTCCTTGCAGATAGAATCAAGTTAAGATAAGGTCATACTGGAATGGGGCAGGGCTGATCCAATGACTGATGTCGTTATAAAAAATGGGAAATTTGGCCATAGGCCTACAGGGGAGAAGACCTTGTGAATTTGGAGGCAGACTGGAGTCATGCATCTACAAGCCAAGAGACGCCACGGATTGCCAGCTGCCACCAGAAGCTCGAAGAAGACGAAGGAGACCCTCCTGTAAAGCCTTCAGAGACAGCATGGTCCTTGACACCTTGATTTGGAACTTCTAGGCTCTGGAGCTGTGAGACAATACATTTCCGTTGTGTTAGGCCCCCCAGTCGGTGGTACCTTGTTATGGCAGTCCTAGTGAATGAATACCGTCGACTTGTTCTTATTTTAGAAATGAGAAAACAGTGGCAATCAGTTCTAAAAACGTGGCCAAGCCCATGCACCACTTAATGTAAGAGCAGAGTTCAAACCCAGGATGGTGTGGTGAGAGCCTGTGCTCTCTCTGTGACACCAGGCTGCCACCTGCCTTGTGTGACCTGTGCATAACTTGTAAGTGAGGCTCTCTGTGCCCCTGTTCTCAGTTGGTCCTCAGGGCCGTTCTTTGAGGAAAGAAGGAAGATGTTATAATTCCCATCTTACACATGAGGAGACCAAGGTCACCTCTGGAGCTGGGCCTGGAATCCAGGTCTCCTGACTCTTGGGACAACGTTCTTGTCATCATTACATCTATTGGTACCCCCGAGGCAGCTTTCCAGCCAGTGCTGTTTCTTGAGCCTGCCCCACTGTGCCCCCCCACCCAACTGAGCCTTGAAGAGGATCCAAAAGAAATGGAGACACACAGCCTTTCTGCTGTGGCCAGACCACATGGCAAGGCTCTGGCCTTGATTTCTTGATTAAGGCCAAGGGCACTAGAGCTCCACTCGTGACCCGATGGCAAAGAGGATCCACATGGGTGAAGACGCGTCATCCCAAGTGTTTCCACCGCCTGGGAACATCTGTTGCTAGGCTACCGTCACCACCCAGGACACGATTGTCCTGAATATCAACTCTGGCCAGAACCAAACTCCAGTTCTCCGATCCTCTGGACAATCTTAATTGGATCATTGGCCAGATGTTTCCTACCACGTGCAAACCTATAACTGTATGAGCTCCCCTGCATTAGTTCTGGGATGTGAAGTTTTATGTGCCAGCTCAGCGAGGCTCTAATGCCCAGATGTTTGGTCAACCCCTAGTCTAGATGATACTGTGAGGGTATTTTGCAGATGCAATTAGCATCTACAATCAGCTGATGTTAAGGAAAGGAGATGACCCTTGATAATATGGGTGGTCCTCATCCAATCAGTGAAAAGGCCTTGAGAACAAAAATGGGTTTCCCAAAACAAAAGGGATTCTGTATCAAGACTTTCGCATAGAAATCTTGTCTGAGTTTCCTGCCCTACAGATTTGGGACCTACCAGCTCCTACAATCACATGAGCCAATTCCTTGAAATAACTCTCTTACACACACACACACACACGCATGCACGCACACAGACCCCCTCCTGGTTCTCTCTGTCTCTCTGGAGAACCTAACCCACACAGCTCCCCTCTCTGGTCAGCATTCCTCCCCTCTCCCCACCTCCTTACTGACACACTAGTGTGCCACACAGCTGCTCAGATCTGATTTCTAACAGGGGGCCAAGCTGAGTAAAAATTGAGTGCTGGCGTGAACAGCTCACACTAAGCAGAACTGACAGTTTATGCGTTTATTCAACAAATATTTATTGAGTGCATTCTGTGTATGAGGCAGAATGCTTAGAAAGTACCAAAGAGTGAGCTGGGGAGAGAACGATCCTGATTCGATTAAATCAGGGGAGATCCAATGAGAACAAGTCTGAGATGAACTTCACAGAATCTGAAAGAAAAGAGGCATCAGCAGGAACAGCTAATACCAAAGGGTAGCCCGGCAGAGTTCACCATGAGCGCCAAAATCTAAAACTACACAGAGAAGCTCTCTCTGATACAACAGCGTTAAGTTGATGAAATTGAATGCTGGGTGTTTATTATTTTGTGAATTTTTTCTGATTGATAATTCTCTGTGAGCAAAAATATGGTTCATTTAATTTCATTTATAACCTATAATGACCTGGAATCTCTTAGCTCTATGTCTGAGGTCACCCAAGTCAGGAGTGATTGTTACTGAAAAGTGAGCGTCTGGTGATAATCAAACCTGTGTGCAAAAGTAAAAATAATTAACACAAAGTATAAATGACTAGTTAGAAATTCTTCAAAACCTTCCAAGATAACAAGTGGTGGCAGGTATGTCTCTGAAGCCTGAAGATAACCAGAAATAATTTGTGAATTTCCAGCAATCTCAGATTACCTAGGTTCTTTCATGAATGTGGATCGTCATAAGTTGATTATGGGATATTTCCCTTCCTCCCAACCTTGGGGCATAATCTGTTTTTGCCCAGGCATCTCCAGGGCCAAAATCAGAAGAATGTTTTGCTCTTTTGACCTCTACTCCCTGCCACTCAGAGGCTGACTAAGGATCCTGGCTTTGGCACTTGTTACTGTAGATCCCTCTCGCTTATTAAAACTCTCTCTGTTCCTAGCATCCAAGTCACCATTTTCTCCCGCTGTTCCTCCTGCCTCTCTGATTATTGCCTCTTCCACCATTTCTGTTGCTTCCTCTCTCTCTCTCTCTCTCTCTCTCTCTCTGTCTCTGTTTGCCTCTTAAATGTCCGTGGCCCTTTTCTATTCTCACTCTCCCAATTCTCTGCCTAGATAATCTCACCCTTTCCCAAATCTATAAATCTAACCCTGACTGCTCCCCTAAATTCCAGAAGCATATTTTAAACACATTACTAAGGCGTCCCCACCTGGATATCTCAGAGGCACCTCAAAAACAGTGACACGAACTTCATTCGGTATATTCCTCCCTCCCCTCCTCTGCCCCATCTCAGGTAACGCCATCTCTATCCAGCCACCTGAGCTGTCCATCGCTTCTCTTTCCTCACATGGTCAGTTGGTCCACTCACATCCTAAATGGTCCTCAGATATACTCTCTGTCTCTGCTTAATCTGCCTTGGTTCAGGCTCTCCTCATCTCTAACCTCAACTGCTGCCATCCCAGTGGCCTGTATCCTCCTTGAGGGCAGGTGTTTCTTATCCATTACTGTATCCCCATCAAAGGGCCACTGTTATTGTAAGCATTCACCAGGAAGCAGTGGAGTGAAAATCATGGACTCTGGAGCCAGACTGCCTGGTTTATTCCCAGATCTGACACTCACTGGCTGCAGGGCACCTGTGTCTCAGCTTATTCATCTGTAAAAATGGGTTGCCATGCACATTTAATGAGGATAGATATGTAATGCACTTATAACAGCGCCTGACATGTGCACAATAAAGTGTTAGTTATTACACTTTTTATTGAAGTATAGTCGGTTTATAATGTTTCAGGTGTACAGCGAAGTGATTCAATTATATATGTAATTGAATACAGTTGAGATGTTGAATGTAGTTCCTTGTGCTATACAGTAGGTCCTTGTTATTTATCTGTTTTTATATAGTAGTGTGTATCTATTAATCCCAAATTCCCAATTTATCCCGTCCCCCAGCTATTACATTTCATAAATGTATGTGAACTTCTCCCCACTACCATCTATCCTCAATCCATCCTGCAGCCTGAGAG